AAAGAACAGGATGATGTGCTCTAGGCTGGAAGCATGGTACAATACAAAATGAAGAGGAGCAGCAGCTGTCTCTGCACTTACGACTCTTGCTGTAAAACAGAAGTATTTTGACTGTAGTTGAAAACCCACTTTTTACTGGGTTATTAAAATTGTTTCCAAGGCATAGATTCCATGAAGTTAATGCCTCGCTGCTCATTAGTAAAACAACATATTGGCAGCGCCAAGACAGAATTTTACAACCTTCTCCGCTGCAGATACCAGGTGGGAAGCACAGTCAGGAATCCAGCCAAACTGAGTGTTTGCTCTCTTTGAAAAAAGCTGATCAAGGAGGAGGAAGAAAGCTCTGAAAGCCCAGATTAAAACAATATAAGACCTATAAAAACTCATGTAGAAACTTGTAAGCTATATGATAGCGGTAATGTGTCAGACAGCACTAAGCCTCTTGAGTGTTAATTCAGTGATGGATAGTGGGTAACCACATGTGTATGCATGCATCCAAATTCACAAATACATGCCTGTATTTACTTTCATGGTCAGGAGTTCTTGTGAGACAGCGGTGTTGTTCTGCGGAAGAATGTGCTTATGATATTTGTCCAGATATACCCAAATCAGGTTTTAAACTACAGCGGTTTACTCACTGCCACGGTGAGATGGGAAGCTCAGGGTGTCAGCAGCTGCAGGGCAGCCAGCTCACAACCAGAAATCTCTCTCCCTTGTCACTGGTGTACCTAAAGCAGATCTTTTTAGCATGCACTTGCAGTGGAGCTGATGCAATCAGTGATAAGGGGGAGCTGTGTCTAAAACCGGAGCCTCTTCCTGTGGAAATCAGGGGCAAATTTCCCCTTAGACTTCAAGGAGAGCAGAGATCTGTAGGGAGATGATGGAGTTCTCCTGTGCATTTTGTAGCTAGATTAATCAGAAAAATGCTTGCACTGTTTTGTTCCCAGTCGTAGAGGAATTTTTGTTGTGTTTACTGCTGACTGTAAAAGCATAATGTTTCCATTTCAAACATGTAACTTCTATTTTTCCCTGACTTGCTGCAGCCTGTGTTCCTGTCCTTTCGAATAGCTGCTGGGGCAGGTAAACCTATTGCAAATGTGCACAAGTGTTGTGTCGTGCAGTGATGTGGTGGTAAATATCATTTTTTTTCCTCTACGTTTATATTCTCTACAACATTTCCCCTGTGTTTATTTTTCTTTTTAAAAACCTGCCAATTCTGCAACAGGAAAAAGATGCCAACGGAACGAGAAGATTTTCCGTGAAGCCAGCCTGTAGCAGGAGGGAAGGAGCACGCCACGAACCGAAACACTTAATCCTAACAGCTGTATTGATAAGTCAAGTCCCGAGTGCCACATTTTTAGACTGCTGATCGTACACTATGCTTCAGCATCTGGACTCTGTTTGAGAAAAGCCTCACATACCTCACTGTCTTGTATGTTCATGTGACATCAAGTAGAAACGTGGAATTATTTTTTATATATATGTCACGATTCTGTTGCCAAAACTCTAAATAGACAGCAGAGATGTTCTGTATTTTAGATTTCACGACTTTCAACTTTTAGTAAGTGTTTGTCAATGTGGAAAAGCATATTATGAACTTCTAAAGGTGTCATGCCTAACATTATGTATCTTTACCACTTTGGGATTTTGTACATTGGATTGTATAGATAGAGCTATCGATGGTTTTAAATGGTATTTTCTTTGTTGACCAAGGCTTATGGTTTGTGTTTTTAGTTTTAGTATTTTGGTTTTCATTTTTACAATTTTTTTCTCATGTTATTTACTATACTGCCATGTTACATGGTTTTTGAATCACACAGCAGCTGCTTTCTATACATACATATATGTGTGTGTATATATATGTATGTATGTGTATATATACACAGATATATAAATAATTTATAAACCTGACCAAAACTTATGCTAAATATACTTTCCAATATGAATGCTTGAGAGTGCCATATCAGCAGTTAGTGTCCGAGTCCTAGCAGGTTTAGTTAAGTGTACATCAACAGCCAACATTTATTATATAAATAATATATAGCAGTGCCATCCTGGATACAGATATATATAGCATACTATATAGCACATATATTAGCAGTTTCACTTTGTTACTCCTGTAATCCCTTCTTTCTATGTAATATTAAGGATTGAATGTGAAGTTCTTAGCTAGGTTTGGGTGTAACTTTCCAGAATTTTGTAAACTGGTTTTGTCTGTCTTTTGTTACTGTTTATGGTGCCAAGTATTCTATATTGAAACAATAACAACACGGGAGAAGAGAATGATAGTCTGCTTCAGGTAGCAGCTGTATTGGACACAGACTGTATTTATACAGTGTTAGAGGAAGAAAACAAAAACCTGTAAATTTTCCTGGTTAGTAGCTCGGTGCAGCTATAATATAACCTTGTTACGAACATTTTTCTCCCACCACTAAATAAAACATTAAAAGGTAATTAGGGAGTCTGTTGATGAAACACAAATGTATGTTTTATTGATTTAATTTAGAACACTACAGAGTTCATGGACTGCGTGATGGCATTAGATTGATGCTTGATTTTGGTATAAATCACTACCATTGAAAATGATTTGATGTCCGCTTGCAGAGTGTGTTCTCAGCAGTACGAGCTGGGTTTCTGTTAAGTGCTGTTGCCCAGTGGGTGTTGCAGCTCTGTATCGTCGTTGTGCCATGTTGCATTATAACCATACAGTAATTCTATTTAAGCAAACTCAACTCATGATAACTTCGAAGGCCTTTAGAAACGAGTACTCTGGTTCTCAAGCAATAAAACTAATCATGGTGAATGCGGCTGTGTCTGTCCCTTTAATTTGGGCATTGGGGACTACAGGGAAATTATTTAATTGTCACACATCTTATTAATGAGTTACCTTTTAATCTCCTGCCAGTTAACGGGGTATTTCTCAGATGGGAACCTGTGTTGCAGAATGCAGCTCGTAGAGTTAACCAAAACATGAGACAAACCGAGGAGAAGATGTTTTGTAGTTTACATTGGAGTGCTGATGCCCGGGGAGTTACGTGACTTTGTGAGCTATTCAGGAGATGCCAGCGCCCAGCAGCTCGATGAATTTGCCACAGTAAGCTCCTTCCTGACTATCCCCGGGTGCAGAAAACCCGCTGCCTGGTCAAGCTCGTGGTGGAGCCTCGTTCGGAAACTGGCCACAGCCGTAGAGCAGGCGGCTGTGAATGCGGGCTCCGCCGGGCTGCAGGCGCAGGGTAGGGGTGACCGGTCACGGGAACTCGACGAGTCTCAAACTGAGCCCGCAGGAACTCATAAAACGCAACTTTGGCGCTGAGCGACGCCCGGGCGGGGCCGTTACCGGCAGCGCTGCCGCCCGCAGCTGGGGGGTCCGGCCCCGCTGCGCAGCCCCAGGGTCCCTCTCCGCGAAGGGCCGAGCGGTCACCCCCGAGCGCAGGTGCGGGGGCTCAGCGGCCGCTTTAACTCCGCTCCCAGGCAGGCAGAGAGCCGCAGGTGTGAACGATCCGACTTCCAGATGCGGGTGGGCTTTATTTGGTCGTTCCGCCTTAGGAGCCGGAAGGCTGGCTCCGCTTCATCGCTGCGGCTGCAGCGGCCTCGTCTCGGAGTGCTCAGAACCGAAGAGCAGTTTATAAACTTGATCTGCTCCGCCCGTAACCGCGGTGCAGCTCGAGCGGGGTCCCGGCAGGCTCTGCTCTCAGTGAGTAACGATTTGCAGGACCCCCAGTCCCGTCCCCCGAACCGAGGAGCTGCCCGGGTCCGAGGGAAATAAACAGGACGAGCGAGACCAGCGGCCTGGGGATGGAGCGGCACAGGCGGGCCGGGGGTCCCGGCGGGGGAGGTGCTGATCAGAGCCTTTGCTGCCTTTCCTCTTAGCGAGATTTGTCCCGATGCAGGCCGGGGCCGCAGCCCCGCATCTGCGGGGAGGGAACATCGCCGCGCGGGACCGCGGACCCCCTGCAGCCACCGGGGAGCAGCGGGGCCACAGCTCTCGGTTCCCGTCGGGCTGGCGGGCAGAGGCCGCAGCCGCCCACGGTGCAGGGAGCCCGGGAGTGCAAACCCGGCCCAGTGCTGTGGAAGGCGGCTGCGGGCAGCACCGGGACTCATAAGCGGCCCGCGGTGCCGGAGCGTGTCACGGCCCCCCCCCAGGGGCACTGTCCTCCGCCGGTGGAGCGCGGCCGGCCCGCAGAGTGGCCGTTGCTTTTGTTCAGGTTGCGAAGCAGTAGGTCGGAGGCGGAAGGAACAGAAAGTCTCATTCATTAAATTAAAGTAAACGGCTAAAAGGCAGCGAGGTTTGGGGCTGGCACCCGCTGCGCTTCCTACGTGCCCGGGCAGCTGCGTCGCAGCTCGACGGCTGCGCCGTTACCTGAGTCTCGTTATGGGCAGGTCGCGACCCCGCCGGTAGGTGCAGGGCCGCCAGTGCCGGGTGCGGGCTCTGGGGAACGCGAGGTGGGAGGTCGCTGTTTACGGACCCCGTCGCCAGGTCGGTGTGTTCGCCTCCCGGTTTTTTGCAGCGGCCGGTATTCGGACAGCGCGGTGGGACGCGTCCCCACCACGGAGCACAGCGCATAGCCTGCCAGCAGCCACCGAAACGGTTTCGGTGCTGGGGACCGGCGCTGCCACGGCCTCTGCACACGGCAGGTTCGGGGCTGCACGTTCAGTCTCGTGTATCTTCTTTCCGGGGGTGTTCGGAGGGTCCCCGGTCCGCGTTCCCGTGAGGCAGTGCCCGCCTCAGCCCAGCGACCCCAGCGCATCCTCGTCCCCTCGCGGAGCGGCGGGGCCGGGCACCCAGCTGCGAGCGGGGCGGCGGTACCGGCGGGAGCGCCCGACCACGGCCCCACCACGGCGGAGGAGCAGGGAACGCCGGGCGAGGACAGCCGTGCAGCTCAGAGCCCCCAAGCGAGGGAGTGAAGGCCAGAAGCCGCGCGGCCCCGCGCTCCCAGAGCCTCCGCCGCTCAGCCCCACAACCCAAACCAAGGTAATGCGGGAAGAAACAGGCTAAAGGAGAAGCTTGTTAAATAATTTATTGATTTATACAAAGTCTTTCCAACCCGCGTGGAGACATTATTTGATCCCAATGTAAAATCAAGTGTCCATTTTCCTCTAGTGCTTTTTTGGGTTGTTTTCTCTCTTTTGATATTATTAAGAATAAAATCCGGAGGCAGGAGAAACCAAACCGCCAAAACACATAGTAGAGGGGGGATTGAAAGAAAACAGCTATTTTTTACACTAGAAATATACAGCACAAAATCTGAAATTTACTATATACAAAGTGGCTGAGCTTGGATTTGGCGACCCATAGAAAACGTAACAAAATCTGATTGTTAGGAGAAGGAAATCTGCAAGAAGGTGAAAAGAAAGAGGAGCAAACCTCAACGGGACACGAAACAAAACCCCAAAACGCTGGAAAAATTCCTCTGAAATTTACACCGATGAGAGAGAAAATAATTTCATAACTTATTCTGTAAAAAATATATACATCTCACATACATCTTGGGCTGTACAACACACCGCTCTGCCATGCCACCGGGGCCCTCACAAGGTATCCGAGCTGGTGCTGCAGGGGCTCACCAGGGACAGGGCCGTGGGTTTGTGCTTCTTCAGTAGCCGCGTGATTTTTTCATCGTCAGAGTTGGGGTCGAGGGGCTTGTTGTACTCCTCATCGTCCTCATTGTCCGAGCTCTCCTTCAGCTTCTCCGTCTCTGAGTCGTGCTTCTTCTTCGCCGAGGCCATTTCCGCCGCGTGCCGCTTCCGCCACTTGGTCCGTCTGTTCTGGAACCAGACCTGGGCACCGGCACCGAGCACGGCTCAGTCCCGCCGCCCCGGGACCCGACACCCTCCCCCGTGCCCGGCTGCCCCGTCCTGCCGCGGCGACACCACCGGAAGGTGACGCGCTGGGGATCCCAACACCCCTACCCCGGTGACCACCCCGCGGACGTCCCCAGCCGTCCGGCCGGCAGTGCAATGGTAAAAGCGGCAGTTTCAGTGGAAAACGAGATACGGTGGCCAGAAAAAATAAGTTTTTGGGTGCCCAGTGCATCTCAACGGGTCGGGGCGCCTCAAGTCGTTGCCAAATAATTGTGTGGTTAACCAAGGGGAAGCCGTGCCAACTGCTGGACAGCATCTTTCCTGAAAACTGACCCGTGGGAAGCAGTTACCTGCCCGGCTTTCTGGGGAGAGGTTTGGGTTATTTTAGAGGGTTTTGGAGGAGGGGGTATCTATTTAGGGTTTATTTGTTTGGTTTTTTTCCTTTTTGTTTGTTCGTTCTGTTGTTTTTTATGTTTGTGGGTTGGATTTTATTTTTTCTGTGTGTTTGTGTTTGTTCGGTTTGGTTTTTTTGTTTGTTTTTTTTTCCTGGTTTTGGTTTTTGTTGGTTCGTTTGTTTGGGGGTTTCTGATATATATATAAATATTTCCTATATCGCTTGCAACACAAAGCACTCTAAGGACCAAATAGGTTATGTAGAACTTGGGCTAAAATCCTTATCCGATATCCAAACGTAATTTACATTACAGTTGACTTTAAAACAAACGAGCCGTGCGGCTGCGGTTCTCCTGGTCGGTGACAATCGCTGCCGAAGCCAGGAGCTGCCGCGCTGCCCCGGCCTCTGCAAGAGGGATCCCGGGCCCGGCCCGGCGCGCCTGCGGGACCTACCTTCACCTGGCTCTCGGTCATCCCGAGGGAATAGGCGAGGCGGGCCCGCTCCGGTCCGGCCAAGTACTTCGTCTGTTCGAAGGTTTTCTCCAAAGCAAAAATCTGCTGCCCGGAGAAAGTCGGGCGCGAGTGTTTCTTCTTGCCGTCCTTGTCCAAAACCATCCCCGCCTGAGCTGAAAGCGGAGGAGAAACGGCTCCGTCAGAGCCCGGGTCTGCACCGGTCCCAGCCCGGGCCCCGGTATGCGGCGAGGCTGCCTCGGGCTCAGCTGGCTCCGAGCAGGATTCGGTGCAGGGAAGTCCCGGATCGCGGCGGCCGCCCCGTCCACCGCGCCCGCCCGCCCCGGGCCGCGCTCCCCGCTGGAACCGGGCGCACTTACCGGGACAGGCGAGCCGGGGGTCTCTCCAGGGAGAGCCCTGCACCACTCCCGGCCAGAAGATGGGCGGCCGCCCCGGCAGCTCCGCTAGCGGCTTCGGATAGCGGGAGACGGCGGCGGGGTTGAAGTACATTCCCGCGGAAGCCGCCAGCCCGTTGATGCGGGGCAGCCCGCCCAGCAGGTTGCTGGCGGAGCCCACGGGCCGCCCCAGGATGTCGCTTATTCCGTGCGGCGTCCCCAAGGGGAGCTGCGTGTTGAGGCCGCCCAGGGCCGGCGCCTTGAAGCCGGAGGGGTTCTGCAGGGCGTAGGGGAAAAGGGAGGTCTTCATCTCGGCCATGTTGTGCAGCGCGGCCAGCGGCGTACTGCTGAGGACGAACGCGCTCTGGCGATTAGCATCCATCTGCCCCACCGCTAACATTGGTGGTCATCAGAGAGCGCGGGCCCGTCTCCAACCGCGCCTGCAGCTGCAGCCCCGAGGCCCCGCGCTGGCGGGACAGTCCCTCTTCTGCTGGCAGTATCGAAGCAGCAGCAAGTACCAAAGTTTGCCGGCCGCAGGGGAACAGCGGCGCAGCTCCGCCCGCCCCCGCCGCTCGGCGACGCGCAGCACGAACGTCCAGGCTGGAGAGTGGCGAAAGCCAAGTCGGGGCCGCGCAGCGACCCGGCAGACGTAGGAGTCCCGGCGAAAGGAGCCCCCCGCCGGCGGAGCGTCCCGGCGGGCTGCGGGGCTGCCCTGGGCCCGGGACCGAGAGGGAGAGCAGACGTGCAGGTGCAGGTGCCGGTGCCGCTGGGATGGGTTCCGCGCCTCGCCTCGGCCGCGTGTCCCGGCGGCGGGGACCCTGCGTGCCGCGCCCCGGGGCGCAGATAACCGCGCGGGCACCGGCGAGCTCCGCGCCCATTGGGCGGCCACCTCCCCGCGCCGCCGCCGCGGCCCAATCGGCGGGCGCCGAGCGCCCCCACCCCGACACGTCACCGCCGGGCCGGGCGGACCCTGGGCGCCGTGGGAGCGCGCGGGGCCGCACGTGGCCGCGCCGCAGCCACCGGGACCCCGCAGCAGGGCCCCGGCCCCGCCGGCCTGGGTCAGCGCCGCTCCGCTCCCGTCCCGCCGCAGCGCCGTGGGGCGCGGACCTCGCTGGGAGGCGGGACCCGCTCGGCTCCGGGAGCCCTACCAGCTGCGGCGGCGCCGGGAAGGCAGCGGAGGCGTCCGCCGAGCGCCGCTCAGGGCGTGGGACGGCCGGACGGCGGCTCTGCCGCGCCGCGCTGAGGGAGACAGACTTGCTTCCCGGCCTGCTCACCTCGGTGTCGGTCGTCGGTTCCCAGGGCGCGGCAGCCGTCCCCTTGCGTTAGAGTGGGATGTCTGTAGCGCGGTGCTGAAAGAGGGGTTTCGTGCTGGAAGCAGCGGCTGCGCCCAGTGGGCTTTGCCCAACCCCACCAGCACCGGAGAGGCCTGGCGGGGACGTACAGCCCTCGGTATGCGGAGGGGGAACGGCCAACACCTCATCGTGGAACGAAGCTCGTTCGCACAAACAAAACTACAGTAGGTATTCTTAATCGAGTATGTGCTCACTTGGCAAGAGAAGAAGAATCCGGGTTTGAGGTCTCAATAGAAAATAATCCCGGGACCGGGGTTTGCAGCGTATTCCTTGTCGTCTCACAGCCGGCAGCTCCTGCCTTCCTGATGCACTGTTAGCCAAGGAAAAGATTAACAACAAGTGGGGAGCTAAAACTTTCCCAAATGTTCAGAGTGAACATGAATCGGCTTTGCCACATCAGAGCACTTACTAAAACGCGATGTGCCTTGGTTGTTGCGATGTCTGTCATCAGAAGCGTTTGCAGGTAAATGGGTTTCGCTTAGCCTGAACCAGCAGCTCTAATATCGGTGTAAGTTTGGAAAGTGTTTACTGGTGCTCGATCAAAGGTCTGTATTTTCGGCCGTTGCAGTTGGACATGCTGTAACACCGTGTGTGTCTTGTTATGTGCATCCTCGTAAACTGCTTAACGTAAAAACGTGAGATTAAAAATGACGCTGCCCTAAAGGTTTAATAAACGACTTCACTGCTTTTTCCTCTCTCTGTTGCAAACAGCAGCAAAAAGGAGTAGTAAAGGATTTATCACACTCCTACGAAGCCCCTTGTCCATTTCTGCTGGCCTTTGGCCCCCGGCTCGGTGCTGACGGCAGCCCGGCGGCGGAGCGCGACCGTCCCCCAAGGGCCGCGAACCCGCTCGGCTCTCCCGGGGCGCGGGGTTGGCCCGTCTCGGGGGAGCCAGGAGCCATCGCGCCGCCCCGCCGGGGGCTGTCTCCCTGTGCCGGTGCCTCCCCCGGCCGCACACCGTCGGGATTCCGCCGGGAAGGTCCGTGGTCCTCCCACGTCCCGCCGCTCTCCCGCTCCCGATGGAGGTGCCCGGGACGATGGAGGACGTTCTCCTCCCGGCCCGGGGGGTTCCGCCTCCGAATGTGCATCGGCAGCAGCGGCCGCTTCGGCTCCACCAGTGAGAGGGAGTCGTGGCGCTAACCCATTCAACGTGCACCAAGGAGCCGGCCCCGCCGGTACTCTTCTGCCTTGCCCGGGACCGACGGAAGAGGGTAAGCGCGCGTCTCCTCCGCTCCGCGCCGGCTGGGCATGGCTTGGCACCACTGCACAGTTGCCCCTACGGTCTGCAGGACGGGGTGAGCCGGGGAACTCCCCGCTTCCCCGGTGACTGTGACCGTGTCCGTCTCGCTCCCTCTGACCGACGCGCGTTTCCCGGGTGCCTGAGGCACCCGCGACAGCTCTGTGGCTCCCGGGGGCCGCTGCCCCGGCCTCGGCCCCGGCCAGCCCGGCCGTGCGAGTCCCGAGGGGCAGAGCCGATGCCTCCCGCTCTCATCTTCGGGTGAAAGCTAAATCAGTGCGCTGGGGTCGGCCGATAATCCGTATCTGTCATCAGTGACTCTCGTAGCACATTAGCGGTACGTTCGTCCTGCTCATTGACTTTCCTGCAATCTAATCACTTCGCGTCTTTCCAGGTGGAAACATGCGGGGGTTATCTCTGCAGACTCCGCGCACGACCAAAACGCTTTTGTGTCTTTTCTGCAGGCCTTCCGATGAAGGGGGGCACCGACGGAGGACTCCCCACCGCGCCGCCCTCCGCGGGAACCCCCGACCGGCATCGCCTAACCGGCCCCGGCTCTGGGCTCCCCCTGGTCTGGTGCTGCGTGTCCCTCCCCTCGGTCCTAGTGCTCCTTTTCCCCGCTGCCGCTAGGCCCCTTCCTCTCGGCCGGGCTGCACCCTCCCGTGGCGGCTGCCAGGCTGCTCCAGGCCAGTGCTCTCCATCGGCTCCTTTCTCTGCCGGCGGGTGTCCGTCTCCTCTCGCCCCGGGTGACCTCGCTAAAACAACCCGGGGTTCCGCCGCAGGGTGGGGGTACACACACACCGTTCCGGGGAGCCCACTGCCCGGCGCGGCGCCGGAGCTCAGTGCCGCCGGTGCTAGCGGGCATCACTCCCCGCCAGCCCGCTGCCTGCGGCCGACACTGTTTTGTCAGAGGACTCACTGACGTGGAAATAAACGGCCCGGAGCCGTTTCTGATTACAGGTGCACTGCGCTGATGGCAGGCGGCTCTGGGAGCTCTGACCCAGCTCGGGCGGCGGGCTCGCCACGTTCGCTGTACAAGTCGCCTCTTCCTCGAGGTTAATTTCGGCGGAGCAAAACGGGCACCGGGCCGGGGGCAGCGCCGGGCCCCTCCGAGGCACCCGGGCAGGCGGGCCCCTCCGCCGATGACGGGCCGCTCCCGGGGCCGGCTCCCCTTCCGCAGCGGGGAGCACAGAGCGGCGGGGGGGGGTGTCCGTCCTGCGGGACCGGCCTTGCCCTGCGCCGCTCCCTGGGCCCTGCCGCCTCCCGGCGTGGGCTGCCGGCGCCCCCTGGCGGCCCCGTCTCCCTGCACCCCGGCGCTGCCCCGGGACCGCCGCTCCCGCCGCGCTCAGCCGCTCTGCCCCGCGCCGAGGTCGTGGTAGCTCCGCCTCTCCCGGCCCTGTCTCCAGTCCCTGCGGGAGCGGGGGAGTTGTGGCAAGCGCCGGGCAGCGAGGGGGGGCGCCGGGCCCCCGGTGCAAAGGGACCTGGCGGAGTCGCGGCCCGGGCAGCGCAACGTGGGCACCCGCGTCTGTCCCTGCTGGAGCGCGGCTGCGGGAATGGGGCTCCGGGCCCTCTGGCTGTGCAGCCAGACGGGGGTTCATAGGGCTGTGATTGATAGCAAAGGTTCACGAACGCTTTTTGGTGCAGCTCCAGCCTGGGCAGAGGATCCGTTTACACCGCTTAGAATTGAAGAGCGTTTTGGTTTGTCCCTGACGTGAGTAAAGTTTCTTACAAAGAGCACGGAGGCAAAACTGAGATTAGTAACATGAAACTCGTCTGCGACTTATGCACTGCGGCACACCCGGAGTCTTACAGTACATTGTCCAGTATTAAATACAGCAAAAAACTTCGGACAAGTTCCGTTTGACCTTCCGGTTCTCCCTTTTGTCATGCAGACAAGCGAAGTACCGTTTCTTGTAGCTTTTGTGCAGCTGAAAGTATCTGAGAGGCTTCGTGCTGAGAGAAAACGAGCTAGGAATAAGTCTAGTCCGTGTTTCACAGTTACGGGCTGTAACGCGTTCCCTTTCCGTCTCACTTTCATGGACTGCAGAGCAGGCGGATGTGTGGCGCATGGACGAATCCACTGCCGTGTTGCCCATTACTCCAAAGTGCGTCTTCTCCTGCATTGTTCTGCTGGTGGAGGTAGGATGAAGCTGGGGAAACAGTGTTGTTGCATGGAATTAGTGGCAAGGGAACAGGGAAACCCACATTGAGGGCCCGTGAACACGCTGTCTGCCTGTGTTCCTGACATTATGGATTCTGCTGCTGCTGCAAAGAAACCCTTGTGTTTAAAAACGAAAGGTGTTTTGGGCTAATAACGTAGTCCCTAGAAAACAAAGTCATTTTAGAGTAGATGATCTCTGTCGAAACATCTTCGCAGAATGATGTATGTTCTGGGAAAGGCCATATTTAATATTTTTCATTACGACCTTTGGCACAAAAAATGGAAATATGCTAATCGTGAGAACTGAGGGTCCTCATCAGTATGGAGTGGCACACCAGAGAAACTGTGTGACCTTGAGAGCAGTGTAACAGAAATGTGGAAAATGTAAAAGTGCAAAAATTTCCTCAAAGTAAAGTGTTATTACAGTGTCGTACTTAGGGCACAATAAAACCAACATTTCATACAGCTGTGGCAGGATTTAGACTCACATGTAGGAAAGGGATTTGCAGATTTTTTTTCCCATGGCTTTGAAATTGCAAAGGATAAGAGTTCTATGATGGTGCATGGCTGGACACTTCGAGAAAGCCTTTTAGCTGCTTGTCCTCTGTTCGCTTGAGACTGCAGACCAGGATGAAGTTCCAGAAAGATGAAGACAATCAGCTAGGTAACGAGGCATTGGATTTGACGATTCCTCTCAAGCTCTTTTGTTTCATTTTCCCTGTTACTCTGCCCACTCACATGCACTGTCTCTTCATCCTTCCTCTGGAGAGGCACACGGAGGCCAGGAGAGCAAAGGGCAGCTGTGGAGGAAACCAGACCCTAGCGATGCAGGGGGAAATGCTCAATCTGCCCCTGTGCCTGAGGGCTGCCAGCATATCCACCGGTAAGTCGCATGTACCTGGCAGTTTTGACTGAACATACTCTTGGGGGAACAGTTGGACTTGATGATCTTAAAGGTCTTTTCCAAACTAGCTGGTTCTGTGATTC